ATCTCCAATATAAACATCCCTGGGCGAATCTGAAAGTTATTACCTGATCCTGCGTCATTGGAACAGATAATTTCTGGTCTAGGATTAGCCATTACGGCTGCTACTACAGTGGGAAAACACACAGGAGTCAGTTATCCTCCTTACCTTCTGTCCTCACCTCTTAGCAAGCCTCCCTGCTGTGGAGAGCATGTGTAGGGCAGGAGAGGTCAGGCTGAGTAACTGCACGGGTAAGTCTGTCCAGTGGGAGTCAGGCAAGTGCCCCTTCTTCATCCATAGATCTTGGATCTACCGCTGCTCAGGCTGGTTAACTCCCACCTAAATATATCTGCCCCCCAGTCATAGGTATTTTTCCCCCCATCCTTCTTAGTGGAGCAGCAAATGGAGCCTCCAGGCTCAGCAGAGCAAGTCCTGAGCTGCCGGAAGAAGGGAGCTGTCTCCTTTCAGTGTGTTCTCCTCTTCCTCCTTGCTTCCATCAAAGCAGCCAGGGAAAATGAAGTGCTATATCCCTTCAATGCTGGCCTGAGGTTTCCAGATCTGGAGCATGGCCCTGAAGCTCCGAGGGGTTTGTCTCAGCAGCCTCCTGCAGCTCCCAGCCCCTCCCTTGCACAGCTGTCATGGTGGGGCTCAGCTCTAGTCTTGATCAGCCAATATCAACAATTTTCATCACGTTAACTTGCCCTTTGGTTGTGCTCACCCACACCAGGGCCTCTCTCTGCCAGGACACAGCAATGCCCCCCTGCAACGCACCAGACCCTGGAAGATTGGGTTCAAAGAGTCTCTGTTGTCTGTTACAAACCATAACCACACTTTGAGCAGCCAAAGCAAGCAGCTGAGCCCCACACTGTGCTCAGGCACCTCAGAGCTTTGTCTTTTTTTTTTTATTCAAGAGTAAACAAACTGAGCTGCCAGCGTATGAGACCATGTCTGCCAAACAGATGAATCCTGCTCCAAGGGCAGTGGGAGAAGTTACCGCTTGTACAGAAATTGGTGGCACCAGGAAACAACTGCTGGTGATCTTAGGCTCTGCTGGAACGGCATGTGAAGGTTATAGTCATTCCTAGCCAAACCTGTGAATTAGTGGCTGTTCTCCAGGTCCAAACTTCAGGCCGTAATTCTGGCTGGCGCAGCAAAGTGCAAAGTTGACAAGATGACAAAGTAACTGAAAACAGTCAAGTGCGGTGTTGGCTCAGCGGTGTCCTCCACACCCAGACCTTGCAACAGCGTCCAACTCCTCCCTGGAAACCCAGCCCGTGTCTGGATGTGTCTGTCAGGTCTCCAGCACCCCAACTGGCCGCTTCAGCTCAGTGTAGCTCTTCTCCTCCACGTGGTTTGTCTGTTCCAGGAGCCATCGCCTCTCCTGGTCACTGACATCCAGCTTCAGCGTCACCTCCTGGAAAAAGCTGTTCACAGCAACCTGCATCACACAGAGGGAAAGCAGCTCAGTACCAGTCATGGGGGAAACATGTTCTCTGGGTAGAAGATGGGCTGTTACTGCACCTCCTTAAAGTGAAGCTTTTTGAACATGCAGATACTGGCTTCATTTTCCTGACCAATCTTAGCCTCAAATTTGGTGATCCCCAGGCTTCTCACTCCTGCAAAAGAAATCAGAGAAGCATTTCTATTACAAGTTTGGCTTCTATAAAAGCACAGGACTCCAGTCTTGGGGCAGATGCATCCCTTACTACCCTGTCTGAATCACTAGGAGTATGTGCTTCTGGATCACAGGCTGCCTGCACTCCTGTTCCTGTGCACTGAGCCACCCTTACCATAGGCCATCATCAGCAGTGTTGCCTCCTTGCCAAACCCTCTGCCTCGGTAGCAGGGCTCTGAAAGAGACAGTCACAGAGTCAGCATCCCCTTATGGGAGACAAATCAGCCACACCAAACACTTTTCAGAGGAGACTGTGACCTGGACAGACAAAGGTCTCATCAGGGCTGAACAGCCACTGTAAAGCATGAGATTAAAAAGCTGCTGTATGTAACACCCGTCTGCAGCTGGCTTTAGCTGTGGAAACAAAGCTATGAAGCAGAACTTGACCTGCAATCATAATTTCAACCTCTCCCAGGGTCGGATCCTCAGTGTTGGTGAGGAAGAGGTTCACGTCCCCCACCATGCAGGACTCCTCCTCCGCCTGTCCCGGCCACCGCGCCGCGTCCAGCACGATGAAGGTGCACTCTGGGGAAGACAAGAAAGAGGCAGCATTCTCAGGGCATGCTGAGCATTATCCCCAAATCAATGAAGAATGAAACAAAATGCAGGTAATGGTCAGAGGAACAACAGTTTCCACACATTAGCAGCGAGGAAGAGCTAATAACTGGGTTTCCCACGCCAAGTGTGCCTGCTCCCAACCATAGAAATGTAAGAAATATTTGGGAAAACCCATTGCAAGGGTGACAAAGACACCAAGACTAGAAGCAGCATGTTTTAAGGAGCATGAAAACGTCCATCCCCTGTCTGAAGTCTCCTTGCCTTGCCTCACTCAGCAGCAAGTTTGGGCAAAGAATTGTTTGATGCACAAGAGGCTGAGACCTAGTGATTCATCTGGTCCATGTTATTACTTCTTTGAGTAAGGCTTTTAATGCTTTGAGTAAGACAAATACTCCGGACTGGGGTCTTTGCCAGCTTCAGTATTTTCCAGCTCACTATATTTCTACCAGGCTTTTATGGGCAGGGATTCATTGCCTGTAGGAGAGTCAGGGAATCAATTCAGTTGCTTCAAGCAGATGATTATAAAAATCACTGGATTTCTCAAGGAAAAATACAACCTCTTTCCACTTTTTTATAATGATCAGACCTGGGGAGTGCTGGCTGTGCAGGATCAGCTCAGCACATAACGCTGTGGGAAGTAATTCACTGTAATCTTTAAAAAACTGCATAAAAAGGACACCAACAGCCCTGGACATTCCCTAGTTCCCTGACGTGGTTTATACATAACAGAAAGCCAATTCAAAGCTGCTGTTATAGAGGGTCTCACATCCCCTCTGGTTCGGGGGAGACTCCCAGCTCACTGTGGGTCAGATGGAAAGGACCTGTCCACTCCCACCCTTCCTTAGAGAACATTTCAGGTGCTCACTGTCGGCATCCTCCCTCCAGCTGCGCTGCATCTCGTACTCCTGCTCCAGGCTGAGGGGCTCCGAGGCCGTCAGGCGCTGCAGCTCCTCCGACTGCATCCACTCGTGGTACCTGACAAGGGACCCAGAGCCACGTCACTGCCCCACCTGCAGCACTGTGGGTGGATCTCCACCAACAACCTGAGGATCAGGGCATAAACCAGCTCTGGAAACATCAGCCCAGCCTTTGTGGCAACTTAAAAGTGTCCACAGCCTTCTCTCCCTTTTCTAACACAGGAATCAGAGCTCTCCGTGGAAATTCAGTGGCTTTGCCTGAAGAGTTTGCCCAACGCAAACTGGGCGTTTTTGAGAGCACTGGGTTCCGGTGCATTTCATCCCGAGTGAGATGATCCGGCACCTCCTGGACGCTGACAAAAACAAAAACATCAATACTGACATCTTTGAGGCTGCAGCTGTCCAGGCCAGCACTTCACAAACCTACACACCCAATGTATCAAACATCCACACATTTAAGTTTTGTGGGTTTTTTTTGCTCTTACACTGTCAGTAGGGAAAGGCATCAAAGAACAGGAGAACCGCTGGTGTTCACTCACTGACAGGCAGGTATTTCCCCTTTTCCACGGGTATACTCAATGGCACAGATAAAGTTCTCCCTTCCAGTAGAGCCGGCACAGAGCACAGCCGGGCACGGAGGGCACACTCACTGCCTTCCCAGGAGTGATTCCCAGCGGGAAGAGGCCCAGCCCTCTCTCACCATCACACTCGCTTCAGAGAGAGAAGTGAAATCAGACCGAGCAGGACACGAGCCACGTACCGGGGCACGTGTGCGGCGGTGTAGGGCACCAGCGCCACCTTCTTCCCTCGCAGCACCGTGTCCTGGTTAATCTTCATGGCCTGGGCACCAAGACAGAACCTCAGCACCCTGCTCCGTTCTGCGGCGAGGCCGAGGGAGGGGGCAGCGCTGCCTGGAGCCTTTCGGGAGCGCAGGTCACGCCGATCCCCCACACCAGGGTGCCCAAGGGGACCCCGGGGCCGGGGGGGGGGGAGGGGGGGGGGGGGGGGGGGGGGGGGGGGGGGGGGGGGGGG